CTATTTTACACCGTGTGCATATCTTTAAACCGTCCCTGGAGTTTGAAATAGAAACTGTAGTTGTGGAGGAACAATCGCTAATCTGTGTTGTAGGTGAAGAGCCAGTTCAAAGTTCAGGAAGACGTTTCGTGTCGTAATTGCTACAATGATAATACTTACGTGTCATAATTATCATCAGACATTGAGACACATTTCAGAGATATTTCTTTGTTGTGTTACAGCGTGCAATTTCAGTCAAAGGAGAAGGAAAAATGAAAAAATGTTGGCTCAACTTGTCAACAGCCTACATGTGCTTGTTGATGATTTTCAGCGACTGCCATAAAGGCAAATCAATTAAATCTTGAGATTGTGAGGTGTCTTCTGCTGCCTCTCCTGAAGAATGTGTGATTTAGGTGCATTAGTTACCTTACCTGTTAATGGCTTCACAACTCCGTAGACAAACACTCAAATGTAATAAGAGACGTGGTGCTCCAAATTACTCAGTTCAGTCAGCCAACACAACGTTGTTGGGCGGAGATGAATATTCAGTTACCTAAAAGAATAATTTTTAATTGTGTTGATCAAAGGGAACCCGGGACACAATAGCATTATCTGTGGCTTAATTTAATTTTCTTTTGCATTAAAGTTTGAGATGTTGACACATAACAGTGAGTCGTAGCTGTGTATTGTTTGTCAGAGGAGTGAAATGAACGTGCTGTGTCTTTATCGAACACACCCTCAGTTATCACTTGTCAGATCAACACTTCATCACTTGATTATTGCTTGAAATTTCCCAGTAGGCACGCTGCACATTTACATTGTGTACTAAATTACATTAGATCACATATCCAAACCATACTATTAAAGCATGATTTCTGGTAGTTTATATGCTAATGCACTTGGGCTGAAAGGATGATTGAAATTAATAATTACAATGTTGGACAGTGATCGTTAAGCAGTAGAGGTTTCAAACAAACTCATAAATTACTATTAATTAGGAGTAACACAAAACACTCTTGATAAGTGCAAATCTGCATCAGATTCATGGAGCTGCTGTATACACATGCATGGACACAATGCCCCGTGGCCCTTTTGTCTCCAGATTTAAATGTACCAAGGGCCTTGAATATATGCTTGTGGTGTGTGTTGTAAGCAGTATTTGCATATTCAAGATGTATATTATTCACATGGCTGATGCTGTCCCTTTCATAAGCACGCCTCTTATGTCTGTTCTCAACCCCATCCCCCATCCTCACCATTTTACCCCCCCCCAATCCCAACCCCACCCCCCCTTGATTAACTAATGTCCAATTCGATGCAGCGTATTTCATCAGCTTGTCACCTAATACAGGCAGCTGATTAACCTGGAGTCTGGCTGGTGAAGTTGCAACCCTCGCCTCCCTGTCTTTAATTTTTTTTTTTTTTTTT